CACCTTAGCTCCTCCATCAATCCCATTCATTCCCTCCCTCTTTCAATCCCATTCACTCCCACCCTCAATGCCATCTCATTCCTCTCTCAATGCCATTCAGACTCTCAGTCAGTCCCTTCACCCCATCTTTGAATACCACTTCAGCCCCTTCCTCAATCCCTCAGCCCTACACAAACCCCAGGGAGAGCAGCAGGTTACTTCCTTTTTTGTGTGTAGAAATGCTTCTGAATTTCACGCCCAAAAGCTCTGTCTCTGCATTTTGAACTCTGTCTCTCTTAAACCAGCAGAAAACAGTTTTAGCTATCAGCTTATTGTATACGGTAATCTCAGAGGGAAGAGTCACTCATTTCAGACAGAGATCGAGTGGAATTTCTTCTCTCAGAGGGTAGTGAATCTTAGGAATTCTTTACCACAGAGGGCTATCAAGACTGGGTCATTAAGTATATTCAAGGTGTGGAGAGACAGATTTTTAATCGGAAAGGAAAGCGGCTAAAGGTAGGAAAGATAAGTTGAGGATTATTGGATCACCATCATCCCATGGGTCATAGAGTCACACCGCACGGAAACAGACCCTTCGGCCCAAATGTTTCCCAAGGTAAACTAGTATAATTTATCTGGGTTTGGCCCATATCCCTCTAAACCTTTCCTATTCGTGTGCCAACCCAAATGTCTTTTAAAATGTTGTAACTGTACCTGCCTCTTCCACTCCCTCTGACAGTTCATTGCACATATGAATCACCATCTTGTGAAAAAGTTGCCCCTCAGGTCCGTTTTAAATCTTTCTCCTCTCACCTTAGAAATATGTCCCCTAGTTTTGAACTCTCCCACCCTAGGCAAAAGACCTTTGCTGTTCATCTTATCTATGCCCCTCATGATTTTATAAACCTCTACAAAGTCACCCCTCAACTTTCTAGGGTCTAGTGAAATAAGTTCCAGCCTATCCGGCCTCCCTTTATAAGTCAAACCGTCCATTCTTGGCAACATTCTGGTAAATCTTTTCTGAACTCTCTCCAATTTAATAATATCCTTCCTATAGCAGAGCAACCAGAATTGTACGTAGTACTCCAAAAATGGTCTCACCAACATCCTGTGCAACCTCAACATGAGGTCCAAAGTCCTTTACTCAATGGTTTGAGCAATAAAGGCAAGGATGCTAATGCCTTCTTAACCATCTTGTCTACCTGTGATGCAACTTTCAAAGAACTGTGTACCCTGGACTCCCAGCTCTCTCTGTTTGACAACACTACCCAGGGCCCTAGCATTAACTGTATAAGTCTGCCCTTGTTTGTTCTACTAAAATGTAATACCTTCCATTTATCCAAATTAAACTCTATCTGCCACTCCTCAGCCCATTGACCCAATTGCTGAAGATCCCTTTGTAATCTTAAATAACCTTCTTCACTGTCGACTATAGCACCAATTTTGGTGTCATCCACAAACTTCCTAACCATGTCTCCTAAATTCACAATGAATAACGGGGCAGACTCAATTGGCGAATGGCCTATTTCTGCTCCTACAACTTTTGGTCTTGTGATTCAGAAGGGGTTAATGTTTTTGCTACTTTGGCTCCATCCATTCTACTGATGTCACGCTAAGCCTGCAGATGGAGACAATGAGTTGTACTGGAGCTGTCAGAGGGAGCTGATCTATCTGTGCTGACTCCAAAATAATAATACAGATTTAAAACTAGACAAGAATTTAAAGAAATGAAATTTATCAGAACATTGAGGAGAGATGTTTAAAAACATATAATTTCCAGTCGATTTGAGGTCAGAGGCGGGCCATGTAAAACACAAAATTGGACTTCATGGATGCAACAGTTCCTACGATACAGACTTGCCTCAAAATCAAACACTCAGTGCAAAAGTTGCACACAATTACAAAGCTGCAGAGAAGGAGCTTACACACACAAAAAACTCAATATGGTGGAGTATTCCCCCTTAGAAAAAAAACTCAGGCATCATCAGCAAAATCCCAACAATGCAGGTTTAGTAAAATTTGTTTGTGTCAATCGATAACTTGTTAAATTTGAGCTTGATACAATCACTGAGATTGTTAGCCGATCAGACTAGTCACCGTAGCTCAAGAAGCAGATGCTACAGCACAGAGGTAAAATTGTGTGATGTAGGTGGAATAACTGTCAAGTCCACGGGAATGCTGCATGTTATTCTGTAACATAAGGAGCAGAAGAGGGTTGAAAATTTGCACATTGTTTGCAATTCATTAACTGCTCAGACTGCACGCCTGTCCTTTGCTTCGATATCCTGAGGAGAGCAGAAGGTATTTGACCATCTCCCAGAGAACAACTGGTCCAGAACCAAACTGTTGTCAAGCAATTAGTCAAGGGACAAACAGTAGAAGATTTCCTTGACTCACGGTAGAACCCAATAAGAAGAAAGAATCTGCTGGGATTGCCTACATAAAGAAACGTTTCATTGCAGCTGAAAAGAAAGAGTGGCCAGTAAACCAGAAGAAGCTCAACTGAATTTGATCAGAGTAAAGCAGTGATCAAGTCTGCATTACCATTGACTGCTATGGTGCTGAAGGATGGCCAGACCAAAACCTCAATGAGTAACTGAGAATATTTACATTTGAGCACCAGCGTTGTACAACGAGGGATGATTTACTAGTTTTTGACAGTTTTTTCAGTTTCCCTTTGGGATTATGTATCGGAAAAGATACACTAGGAACACTTAGGCATTACCAGGCGTAGAGCCAGAGCTCAGACAATGGAGTAGCGGATAGAGATTTCTCAAAAGAGATTGAAAGTTTGATATCTCATTGCGCAATCAGCAATTACATTAATTTATCAAGTCTGAAAAACACTTCTGTCATCACCGAAGAAGCAAAAACTCAGCAAAACTTGTGAGAAGAAGCCAATACTGAGAACAGGAATGAGCAGCAACTTCTGCTTTAGCCTGTCATTGGTGCGAAGGTGACACTTGCACCTTGGGAGTCATGTGTGGCAGTATCCCTACCCACTCCCACACACCTCTCTACTGGCACCTCCCTGCCCACTCCCACACACCTCTCCACTGGCACCTGCCTGTCCTCTCCCACACACCTCCCCACTGGCACCTGCCTACCCACTCCCACACACCTCTCCACTG